ATGCACCCATCCATACTGCCAAAGATACAAAGGACTGGATGTCTCAGAAACAGGTTAAGGTTCTCTCAATGTGGCCCACACAATCACCTGATCTAAACCCAATTGAGAATCTATGGGGTGAACTACAAAGAAGAGTATGAAAACGAAATTTATGCCCCGCAAATAAGCACAAATTATATCTGGCATTGAAAGAAGAGTGGGAAACTATTCCCAGGAAAACCTATAAGAAGTTGATCAATAGTATGCCTAGACGTGTAGAGGGTTCATGAGTGTATTGAGAGGTGTGGGGGTCCAACAAGCTATTAAAAAATATTCACATTTTAATTTTGCATTAATGTTTAAATATACAAAGTGTCTGGTGACTTTTTTCCACTGAGTGTATATGCATGTATGCAGTAGAGTAAGTGGTTAAAAGTGCCAGCGAGAATCTGCTTCATAACTATGCCAACATGTTGATTGCAACAGTGAGGATCCTAAGGCCATTGGCAATTACTGATTGCTGTTCCTTAACAAATAAGTGATAATTTCAAAAGCATTGGTAACCTATTATTTTCTACAGATCAGATTTATGTGGGGTGAATTAAAATTGTTGGTAGACAGTCATCTACTGCGAGAGAAGTTTGAAGAAGAAACCAATTTAATGAATCAAGTGCTCAGCAATATAGCGAGCATTAAAACAATAATTACAGTATGTTACTGAACTTTGTCAACTCAGATTCATTATCATGTATGGAATAGTTGCACTGACTGACTGACTGATTGCAGAAGGAGACAACACCAGCACACAAATACCTTGCAAATTCACTGGACAATATTAACGTATGGACATTGACAAACAATGATCTGATTATAAATAATGTAGTGGACCTTGGTGCATTGAATATTCCAGGTGAATTTTGTGACATTCTTGTTGGTGAAAGGGGAGGGATAAGAGAGTTGAGATGGGGTGAGTTTCTTGATAAACTAGCTGATGAATTTGTAAGTAGGAGAAATAATTTAGAACAGTCGTGCAAGTTTGTTATAGCACAGTCAGAGAGGGTGGTGCAGTATAGATGGGTTGATAAACTGATGAAGCCATCTACAATGATCAGGTTAAAGTAAACACACAATCTCAGAAACTGTCTTATCTATTTGATCAATGGTTAATTTTACTGTTAATATGACACAAGAATCAGATCAGACAAACATACCAGTGCCTGATCAAGCTTTCTCTACCCTCATGAATATGTCTAATCGTTGGCCTTACGTCCACTTCGACAACCTGTGGCCTCTCTGCGGCATTATACGTACGTACCAAACGCATGTAACCCTATTTTGGAAAACATTTGTCGGATGTTTGAGTTTACAATATTAGTTTACAACACGCATGGTAATTGTAAAACTCGTAATTGTCGGAGTAAGTCTTTCGAGTAAAGTCCGGTAAATTCAATAAATATTGTCAAGCAAACACCAGCGTTTCAAAAATCTTCAAACAATATAGCGAGTTCATGATTGGTGAGATAAGGAACCCTTGCGCATGGTCTGCTTGAATGACTCGGCTGATTTGGTCCGTTGTTTGGAATCTTTCTTCCTTCGAATACCCACCATCTTTTCGCGCGTTATCCTTCGTGCAGACGGATGCCTCCACTTTTTGACCCTGAATCAAGAGTTACGAATTCGGGGTGTCTTCCGCCGAACTGATTTATTCTCCATTCTCATACTAATCGAGTCATGTGAGCAAAGGATCACGGGATCGACAAGATCAATATCGCTTAGACCGCCCAACGTCGCAGTCACGTCGCAAAGGTCGTGACGCGGAGACACCAAAAAATTATAAATAGCGGGAAGGTATATTAGTTGTGCCTACTAGAGTTATTTTTCTATGTGCTTTTTATTTTATGGTAATTGAGAGAAACGAGAAAGTAAAAAATGAAGTGGTTGAATATTCAAATGTCGAAAGTGGCGGAGCCCAAGATTTGCCAGGGGTAAAAGATCATGTCATCCATGGTCATGCTGACACCGAAAGAGTAAAAGAAAGAAAACAAGGTTGTTATTGTTGGAATCGGGTGAGAAAGATTTCACCATGCCTTCTTAAGTCAAATTTAGGGGAGTTTATTATTATTTAGATTCTTCAAACTAATTTTTTAGTTTTTTAGTATACTTTATATATAATTGCTTGTTTTTCTTTAGAAAATTAAGTGCAAGTTGTAACTCTTAGTCGACGTTATGAATTTTTTGTTTGACACTTACCATGGAACGCGAGCTGTGCGACAGTAGTAAGCTCTTAGTTCGACGTTCTCTTTATATTATCTTTTACACTAATCCCGTCAATATCAAGCCTTGGACTAAATTATGAGTCGTGACACAAGTAATTCAAAAATAATACAAATTTTAACTTAATGTTTCTGGATAAGTTTTTTGCAAACGTAAATATTAATCACTCAATTTGATGGAGCAAGTCAATGTTAACTGAAGATGGTGTAACTTACATTACAACGTAATTAGGTCTAAATTTTTGGGGGCTTCGCCCCCGAAAATTTTAGCTTTTTATATAAAGTCTAAGACTTAATCACAGGAGCTTTACCTTTCTTGTTAACTTTGTGTGTATTAGTATTGATATAGTTTGGTGAGCTGTTAGCAGTGCGTTCTTAACTGGAGAAAGGTTATTGTTTCAAAGTATAAATTGAATGTATTGATATAATCATTGATAGGGTAAGGGAATGGTATAATGGGTTTTGAAAAAGTGTAATATTTAGTTTATGGTATGAAAGTGTAGTGTTAATTTTGTATATGAGT